CTGTAAACAGCTTAGAGAGGGCTGAAAGCCCTATGAAGCGGTATATAAGTCTAACTGCTATTGCTATTGCTATCTTGTATATGTTTTCCTTATACAAGGTGGCTGAAGTTAACTTTCTATTTCTTTCCCATAGTCTTGCCAATTGTCCAAATCTATGCTGTAACCAAAGTTCCTACTCCATGCTAACATAGCAATAGCAGTTAGACTTATATACCGCTTCATAGGGTTTTCAGCCCTCTCTAAGCGGTTTACAGTGTCAGCATATCGCCCCCCACAGTCTGGGTTCTCATTTCACCCACCTCAGAAGGATGGAAGGCCGAGTCAACATGGTTTCCTTCACCTGCTCTTCTGCCATTGTATAATCCAAGAGATATTGATATAATTTTTTAATCATTTTTAATTGATGCCAATACTTTTCAAGCCCTTCTTAATGAATGTCTGGCACCAGAGTCCTTTTGAATAAAAGTAGGCAAGCGAGGGAGATATGGGGGAAGTGCCAATTTTAGCTGGTAAGCCTAAATTGCCTGGAAATTGGTTGTTACTCAAAAGGTGAAAAGAAAAAGCAACAGAATAAGCCAGCAATTATAAGGTAGTTACGTTGAGTGATTTTTGCTCGTCCCTTGGACTATTGTTATATAGAGTTCAGATCTATGCACACTGTGCTGTTTAACATCTACAAGAATGGCTGAAAGATTCTCAGATGCAGGTTTAAACTTCATTGCTATCAATATATGGATTGCATCAAGTTCTAACCTCTCCTGCCCATCACTTGCCAGGAAAGCTCTGACATTTCCAAACCACCGAAGTCAGAAATCAATAAAGCTTTTGCTACTACTCAAGTTTCTTTCAAATAAAGGGCTTCTGGAGTTATCAGAAAGCTGCCATGTGTAACTACAGGAGTCCTCCTTTCCACCTTCATTAGATGTTTTTCTGGAAATAAAAATCACCCCAAAAGTGATGAGAAAATTTCCAAATGCAATACTGTTTATGGGCTCCTAATATTGTGTCAATGATGCAAAACAATTGGCTATCCTAACAGGCACAACACAGCCTGGTAACATTGGGCAGCACAGGTATTTCTCAAGTTATGACCAACACTGAGCCCCAAAATTACGTTGCTAAGTAAGTCTCAAGTGAGTTTTGCCCCATTCGCCACAGTTATTAAATGAATCATTGCAGTTGTTAAGTTAGTAACATGGTTGTTAAATGAATCTGGCTTCCCCTTCATTTTGCTTGTCAGAAGGTTACAAAAGAACCCCAGGATACTGCAACCGTCATAGATATGAGTCAGTTGCCAAGTGTTTGAATTTTAATCACATGACTATGAGGATGCTGTGACGGTTGTAAGCTGGAAAAACGGTCCTAAATCACTTTTTTTCAGTGGTGTTGTAACTTTGCATGGTCACTAAAAATTGTTGTAAGTTGAGGAGTACCTGTATTAGGTTTTAGCATTGTTCCTTAATGGGGAAAAAAGAGATTGTCATCCCTGTCATTTTTTATTTTGTTTTAGTGCATTCGTTTATTTAACTAAAATATTTACCCCAGTAGTAAAATTCAAATTTTTTTACTCCTGGTTCTGTGGGCATGGCAAGGAAAGGATACTGCAAAATCTCCATTCCTGCCCTACTCTGGGAGCAGCCACTAATGAAACAGCATAGTAAAAATAATAGAAAGTGTGCAGTGGTGGGTTTCAAAATATTTCGGAACCTCTTCTGTAGGTGTGGCCTGCTTTCCGGGTCCACTGGTGGAACCTCTTCTAA